GATAAAAAGGAGGAGGACGAGGAAAAAAGGAAGGGCACGAGCAACGAGGTGGCCGGGACAGACGGTGGCTCGGGGTCTTAGAACGCAGACACGCGCAGAAGAGGTGTCATAACGGCACAGTGTTTGCCGGAACAACACGACCACAGCTCCTAGGAAAGACCCCAGCTTCCGTAGCAGCACCCTCTGAGCTCCGGGCTCAGCCATGAGTTCTACCAGCTCGGTCAAGTGAGTCCAACCCCGTTGTCATGCGCCAGATGGCCTGCAGCGACGCTCCGTAGGTGGTGCACCAAGAACGACAAGGGGTACAGCCGCTGTGTGGACCCGACGCTATGGTGACCGGACACCCTAGGGACCTGACGTTGCAGCTTATGGCCGGAAACATCGACGCAACGAGCCGTACGACTCTACGCCGAAGCTAATTCAAGTCAACGCTCCTGGAACTCCGTAAGTACGACTCTCTAGTCTTGTACATACATAGTGTGTGCGAGAAACTGTTGTGGCGCATTTAGCATGTCATTTGTGAATTGAGTTCTCCTTTCAGTTTCAGTTTCATAAACAACTTTTTCGTGTTCCTTTCTGTCCCTGTCTCGTTGAACATCTATAGAGACCATGACACCACTACACCCTGTGATGCTGATCGGTAAATATGCACTTTTTAAACTTCCATCGCTTTTCAGGTTTTTTAAAGATGTCCCTAGTTTTCACCTCATATTTTGAGGGGATCCGTAGCTCGGCCTCTGTACAGAGGTCGCGGCTGTGACAGCCCTCTTCTCCAACACTGTCATTTATTCCACCTTCATGCGTTTCATGTCAGTGCCATGATTTTAATATTATTTATTTTTAAGCCACCTCAGGACACGGAATTTCAGGCCCTTTACAGCAGCGTGACGCTATCATTGTTCATATTCTGTATATAGTAATTTCAATAACGAACCATTGCTTTTTTTTCATCATTGTTGATGGCGCTTCTTGGCCATCCCATGGTCCTTGCGTCAATAAACACTATATCATCTTCATCAACTAGTACTATTGACCTTGATACACGAAAACAAATGAAAGATGAATGCCGAAAGCGAAAATAGTTGAGGCCGCTAGATTTATCATCAATTGCAAGCAGATTCAATTCAACGTAACCATGTAGTAAACAGTAAGTTGAACACTACGCATTAATAAAAAAAACTCGCTGGATTAAGCATGCACCCAAAGTGACCTCAAGGCGACAGTCGTCTGGCTTTTTTTTTCTTTAGTCAATTTATTGTTCAACCCCCACCAATGAGCATACTTTCTGGACTTTGCACTGGTCATTGCACTGAAGGTACTCTAAAGTTTTAGCACCTCACCTGGTTCTGCTAGGCCTCCGTGATTCGTAGGCTGATCACAGAGCAGTGCAAAGCCGCGATGTCATGCGTTAACGCTAATCATGAAGCGTCATGGTTACCTTATGCATTCTGGTGATCTGTGATGTGAATAAGACGTCCTAAGTGACACCGCCACGCAATGATTTTTGCATCTCTCTTGTCGACGTCACTGCCGCGGGACGCCGGAGCCACCGACGGTCAATTTCGTTATTAGCTGAAAACTTTAGATGCCTCATTAAACGTTAAACTTAATCGTTTGCGTCCCGCGCCGACAGCTTCGAGTGACAGAAAAAATCACGGGATGACGATAACACACGTGATGTCACATCATCTCCGAAAATTGTGACGCTATCAAAATGTCGCGTTACGTCACGTGTTCACGTCATCGCATGACATCGGAGCTTAGTCAAATGTGGTCTGATTATAGAGGCAATACAGAATCAGTTTTGCCCTACTTTCAATTTTGGAGGCAGTGGAACCTTAGCAAGGCACAGTAAGTTTTCAAAGGGTGGTGTGAATGGTGGCGGGCTTGGGCGTCGTCCGAGAAGGGGGAGAGTGCAAAAGAGGCGATGGCCCTGTACAAGCCACACTAGCACTTACCCGCGCCCAAGCTACACCAGTGCTCTCCCCCTAGCTGCCATGCAAGACGAGCTTGCACCCAAGCCATAATCGCGCTAATAGTCATCAGTACATCGACTGAGAAGAAAAATAAGATAGCTATAGGCATCTAACTGTCATAAGTTGATGGATAGCGCATCCTTGAGATTTATTTAGGTATCTAAGCCTCTCGTCTAATTATTTCGCATAGTAGACTTTTTATTGAGGCATCTAAGCCCCTTGCCTTAATTAATTCGTGCAATTATTTACACGGTGTGCTTCAGGTGTAAAATCCCCGCCCCGTAATCACAGTGTGTGAGAACACAGACTTCTTAAAAAGGTTCAACTTCGCTGCAGTATGACAAAAGTCGAAGTCATGAAGCAGCACCAAGCAATGAATGAACATCATATTTTACTGGTTGATATTTAACACCTCCAAACCACAATATAATTATGAGAGAAGCTGTAGTGGAGGGCTCCCGAAATTCGGAGTGCCTAGTCTAAGCTCTTGGGCACCAAGAATTTTCGCCTCCATTGAAAATGCGGCTGCCGCGGCTGGAAATCGATCCCAGCCGCGGCAGCCGCAATTGTCAGCAGCTGATTGCCTGAGTCACTAGACCACCTTGACGGGTAAGCAGTGAACGGAGCGACTGGTGACTTTCGTGTTTTATCACATTCAAGAACCGAGCAAGTGTGCCTGCCGCTCATCTTATTCGGCATGTTCACATGATGTATAAAGTTATTTGCGAAGGGTGACACTGTATAGTATGCGTGAATAAAATTCATAGCGGTCAGACGCAGCGTTCCTTCCCAATAGGAGCTCCTTACACCAGCCCACGGTGAAAGAACACTTTAGGTGAGCAAGCACCGTAAAGGGAGCGCTTGGCGGCGAGGGACTGATTATGTTCTCGTTTGCAAAATCCCAATAGACGGCTCGCTGGACTGAGGATCATGGTGGGCTGCTGGCAAATTCTGTAAAGTACGTCCAGCACGTGGGTGATATTTTCCAAATATGAGAAAACCGGGTTATCGCACGATAAGAACCACGAGACACGCATAAAGTGACGCCTCTAAAGAAGGAGTGATAATGGAGGAGGTTGGCAGTGTGGCGAGGGTGTTGTGGCAACGATAAATGAGTGCCGCTACTTTGCTACGCACGGGGCTTTACCACACCGAGAGGGGAGAGGGGAGGGGGGTGAAGTTTGTAGCGCTATTTCTCGGGCTCCTTGCAAAGCTGAACATTATCGGGCAGCGGATAGTCCTGGCGTTCGCTCATGTATAATATTCTTGCAGCGTGCACCAGCAGAAACCTACTCACGGCACGCGATGAAAGCACGCGAAAGTGAGAAAGCGTCGTCTGCTTTGCCCGCCGGCGCTTTACTCTTCTATAAAGCCCCAGCACCGATTCACCTGAGGAAGGCGTGGCACTGCGATTTCTGGAAAGGTCCATTGGCCAATGAAAGGCTGCAAACAAGAAAAGGCACCGACCCACTCTTCCAGAGAACATCGGTAAACTGTTTGTGTCGTTGCAGTGTAAGGTAGACGGCTACAAATTAGGGAGGTTTAGAAAAAAAATTACTTTTCTTGGAGAAGACAGGGGACGCCCCCAAAGACAGTCAGCAGGCCGAAGTCGGTGCCGTGTCGCTCCGGTGTAATTACAACTTAATCGAAACAGGGGATGAAAGTGAGCATCAGGAGGGAGTGCGCCGTTCATCATGACGTTATTGTTTGTACGATACACGCGTTCAAACGGAATGCCTAACAATGCCTAGAAGGGAAAGAACGGCGATAAATTCTGGTGGGACACACCAGATGAAGAAGTCAGTGTCACATGGCGTCGCACCACGTGAACTGCATAACGCGTTGATGGTGTAAATAAAGGTTCTTACCCATGAAAAATGGCTCTGTCATCACTCATCCCTATTGCCATTGTTGTCATGATCAGCATCACAACGAGTTATAGGCGTAAAGGTTCTTACCCATGAAAAATGGCTGTGTTATCATTCATCGCCATTGTCACCGTTGTTGTTATGATCAGTATAAAACACCGCATTACAATGTTTGCAGGTATGCAGTGGAGGCTTACGATTGTAAGCGCGTTGTGGGCCCTCGAAATATACCAGAACCGGTGTAGTGGGTACACCTCGAAAAATAGGTAGAAGTGAAAAAGTGTACGGTACACAAGTGCCCTTCGAAGGGTCCACTTTATGCGCAACATGTATGCTCGCTCATTTCAGCCCTCTAGGCTCACATGACAGCAGGAAAACTTGAGCCGTTTTGTGCTACAATAGTGTAACGTCTGCTGATTTTTTGTGGGTGATGTACCTCCAAGCCCGCGAAAACGTGGGCTGTAGCCTGAGAAATGGGAGCTGTCTGACCGTCCCTTGAGTGTGAATATGCCCGCCTGACCTGAAGCAGAAGGCAAAAGGTTCAACGGAGTGAACCTCGAGAAAAAAATGTTGCAAAACACGAGTCAGGAACCTGCGGCCCGTGGAGCAGTATAATCTGGCCGCCAGCACGACGCATGGGACCACTTGCCCCTGTCACTTCTTATTGGAAGGCCGAGAGGGCAGCTTTCACGTTAAAGGGGCCGTACCTGTTCCAGTATTGTGACTTGCATGCTGGTAGTAAACATGGTTGCTAAAGCAAATCTGCACATTACTGAGAATTCACCTATTAGTTTTTTTAAGTAAAGTGTAGTCACCCCTCTCCGGCCCCAGCTACGTTGACTTCAGGCAGCTTAGTTATTTGGCCTGAAGTGGTTGCCGACCTCTTCTGTATATAAAAGACGTTACTTCAGGGCGTATTATTTTCTTATTATGTTCTTGAACAATGCCTCCTAGGTAGGTTCAATAACTAGTTATGCGCCTGCTCATTCGTCTATGATTTTAAATTGTGCGGCCCCTCTCATTTATAAGGCAATCTAGTTCCAGAGAAAGCTGCATCAATCATGACGATTGATGTCGCATATGCTCTTGAAGCTGTTTTCATGGTATCACAGGATGTAGTTCACTTCGTATTTACGATCCGTTGGGGCTGACTTACCTGAACTGCACCAGCCGTCTTTCAGAAGAATTTCAGCAGTTTCCTTTGGTCTTTTGTAGTAGCCACGCATGACTGATGGCGTACGGAACAGCAGCTCACCAGGCTCGTTAGGCCCCATTAGTTGTTCATTGCTCTTGTTCAATATCTGTTCAAACAGGGGGAGTTAAAGCGGGAAATATTAGATTTCAATGAAAGACTTAGCATCTCATCTGTTGCTACAGAACTCCTCGAGTTCACCAAGCTGCTGATTACCTTTTCTGAGATTACCTCCCGGTGCACTACAAAGGAATTAAACTGGTGTTTCAACGTCTTAGCATGAATTTAGCTGAGCAAAATCTATAGAGAACGTTCAAAGCGTATCCCTCAAGGAGCTTCTCAAGTATGATACGCACAAAGACGGACTCAACATGCCCAGACTGCAGAGAGGCATTTAAACACGTGCTCTTCCGATGCTCGGTGTTCTAGGACTGCCATCCTGAAGCCTGGTGCTGCCGCCAACATTGACAACAGCCTCGACGCCCAGCTCTTGGCTCTCTGAAAGGGCCGTGGGAAAGCCCAGGTACGTAGCCTTCTCGTCGCAACATGAGACCACACGAGAGTTGGATGTATATACAACATATAATCGTCTATATATGTCCAAATAATGTTTTCTCTCTCCCCGTCTGTAGGAGATAACGCATACATTAAAGATAGAGAAAACAAACCTGTTAGGAAAATATGTACTTCTATTCTGAGCAACTGTACTTCGCCACTTGGGTAACCTTCGAGTTGCCATATAAAAATATTCAACAATAAAAATATTGGCAGCCTGTTCTCTTCAAGTAATGGACACTTACCCAAGAGATATTTCTTCGTATAATAGCTCTACTTAGTGTAACTGTGCTGCGTCGCCAGCAGTGATTTCATCTTTATAATGTGGTTGGCATGTACTACTTTGAATAGGATACTGTAGTACCATTGGAAGTAAATACCTAAATTAAGCTTTGTCATACTTTTAACCACTCTTTCTTTATTTTGATTATTTATGTGTAAGAGAAAGTACTAGATTTCGTAACTAAGTTACCATTCGTTCACTAACGTTGTTTATAGCAAGTGTCTGAAGGGCCACGCAGTCGGCGATAACATTGTCATAGTTAAATGCTTTCGCGCTGTCAGGTTAAAGCGATTGTCAGTATTTCTCGACTGTACCACATGGTATAGTAAGTAGAACTGATCATTTTCTCTTTTTCCTTGACGCTTACGGATATTTTGATTTTATTCATGATTAGATTCTTGTTTGTACCCTGTTTGCTGTGCTGCACCTTCGCTATGGTGTGCTAGGTGGCTAGGTCTTCTGCCGGGTATATATAAATGTGTTCTTTCTAATAAAATTTACTTGCGAGTTCAGCGCCTTGTTGTCTCTTGTTCCGCTTTTTTCGGTATTTTCGCGCTGTATTTACATCCAAGCATGAACCACCAACTAGCTATTTTTATTGTAGTGCTATCAAATGAACACCTTTTCGCCAGAGCAGCTACAGCGAAACATTCATTTGCCTCCTCCGTAAGTCCGAAATACTGCTTATAAATATGAGACGCGATGGTATACTGTGCATTGCACAAAAATGATCTGTGTTGGGCATACAAATTTATGCATCCCTAATCCATTGCAAAACACAATTTGAATCCGTGTAATGCGTCACGCCATCTTAATGCAATGCTGTTTGAAAAATGAAACTGGCAGACAATATCGCTGAATTCTCCCACTGTGAGGGCCGTCAACAGCAATGCGCATATGTGGGTAGCTGTGGTGTGGTTACTTTGCCCATAAATACGTAATTTCGTGTGTTGGAGTGAAGCAGGGCGACCATCCAGAAAAGACGTTGATCAAGCTGTAGAACTTTGGACTAAAGGTTAGAACGAGCTAACAACGTGGGATGATCCACTCTCATTGTCATAGCACAAAATATACCAGGACGAGTTTGTATGGTCGAAACCATGGTGGTGGCTAATCCAATCTCATGTACTGTTTAGTGCCACCGCAATGGTAAAGCAGTGAATGCGACTACTGCAAATTGCAATATATAAAAAGCAAGGCTAGCAACTTATTACTTTATCATGAGACCTGGTGTAACTGAACCAAACGGAGCAGTCAGAAAACGCCGTCGCTTTAAAGAGTGAAGGAAGCGTTGTGCTATCGTTCGCTTCAACTGTGAGATTACAGCACGTACAAAGGTAGGAGCCGTGAGCGGATCTCTGTTAAGATAGGCCGCGTGACAGCGCACCTGCCTGAACTAAAGCAAGGGTTATTGGGCGCGTTGTAGCGGTCGTTTTCTTTCACGAGTCGTTCCACGCCAAACGCCCTAGCCATTTGGGTTGCCCATCTCAAATGTATTCGGAAAAAAATAGTGCTGGTTGCATTGAAAATAGTGAACTGCTAGAATGTTTCAGAGAGAAAAAGTTTTTGGTCACAGGGCTGCCTACCGAACTTCTCGTATGGTCGTTTGAGTGTTGTTTGTGAAAAAATCTACTTAAAACTTACCGCTCTTTTTTTATATGACAAATTTGGACATGCTAAGTGAAGGTTTCTATATAAGGTGTTTGAAGCTAAGTAATTAATATTGGTGCAACTGCAGTGGCACATACACCACCAAACTTTAGCCAAATGTGGTACGTTTGTATTTTTTATATTGCAATACTGCACTTTTTATGAATATCTAAATAATGAATATATGAAATAATGAAATAACGAAATAATGAATAATGAATAATGAATACTTCGGGTATCACCCCTTTGGGTATCACCTCACGGAAAACATATCTTGAAGTAAAAATATTATGGGCCTCTAGAGCTGCTGAAGTCGACGAAGAAAATTCGCAAATATCACAAAATCACCATTGTTGTCTTTATTGAGACGAAATTTGCACAATGTGTGTGGTCCAATTAAAAATAACCTTTCTGCCTACATCCAAAGCAAATAAGTAGTTCTTTGCATATGGCAAATATTATAGATATAGTTTTTTGTTTTAAGCAAGAAAATAATTTTCAACTTCTCCAATAGGAAATGTCGTATGACCAAGTGGGAAGACAGACATCGATGGGAACACCAAAGTTTGTAAACCAAATTGTGTGTGGAAAGAAGAAGCGGTACTCTTAAACTAAGTTTTTCTACAAACAACAACCACACGACATTTCAGGAAGATCAGAAGGCAGCCAGGTGACCCAAAAATTGTTTTATCCCAAAACATCAATGCAGCTCATTGTTTAAATGCAGTAAATCAGCAGAAATCTTTGCAATACATTTCAGATGGTCACCAAAATGGCTGGGACGTTTGGCGTGGAATTACCCTCTTGGCTTGTGTTACTTGTAAAGCGAAAGCGTTGAAACGCTGGTTTCACAGGAATGCTGGGGTGAGTTTTGTTGATTGTGAGGGAGGAAGCACCTCGACATTGTCCGAAAGCGAAAACTGGCTCACGTGCAAATAAAAAAACAAAATGTTCAAGGAGGATCTCATTTTCAAATATGCGAGCTCTCACTCTCAGAGGCGATGTGTTTAGCCGCTTGGTCATCATGCATACATCCTCTGGCATACTAATATGAAGTTACTAATAAACACTTTGGGTATCACCGCGTGTTTGGTGATAGCTCACAAGCTCACGTGCGCAGGAAGAAACAGTTGCTAAGCAGTCGAGCTTGGGCCTGTGACCAGTAAAGATCTTTTCCTTACACTTCTTCTGTCTCTTTTATGAGGACTTTAGTCGACCCTTAACTCTGAGCCTACATGTGGCGACCAACGTACATCAGAATGAAAGCCATCGGAGAAAAACACCGAGGTGTCGTCACAGGCGTGGCCCTTTTCTTCACAAGTCTTCTTTCTTTTTTTTGTTAGTGCTTGTGGTGCGCCGAAAGATCTTGTTTGCAGCCTCGTATTGTATAAGCACGTATGTTTACCATGGACATCCTCTCAACTCCCAGCCTCGACGGTTGACGTGGACGTGCCTGAAGTCGACGATGAGGCGAACGCGAATTACGCGGCAGACACGGGTGGTCAGCAGCAGCACTGACATGAGGAGCCTGCTTCATCATCTCGCCACACACCCAAGGCTCCTCTCAGTTCGGAGAGTTTCGCGGCTTGGTTCGTGGACTTTGTTCTCGGGGGCACTCAGGCTCTTGCCTTGCCAATGTTAGACATTCCACGTTTACCGGGCAAGTGAACGGGACATCAGGTCATTGATTTTCTTGACGACCTCTTCACTAACGGGAGACGCGGGCGCTTCGCGAAGTGATCGGACGCGACGCTCATCGGCTCCGTCGATTTTCGGCTGGAACCGTGCTCTCTTCAATGTGGCTGCTCTAAAACTTGTGTGACTGCATCTGCCAAGTCAGCAAGATTCTGGGGACACCGATCTCACTCAGGTACGCCCAATTTTCGGCCACTTCGAGCAACTTTGCATCACAACGTAGCGAACGAGCTAAGCCTCACGGCGGCGGCTCCGCCGCTGCTGGATGCGGAGACGCCGCTCGGTCAACTCCTCAACATGGCGCTGCCTGAACTACGTGGCTACGACCCTACGACTCTGTCGTGGTCGTATATCTCGACAAATCCATCAGACGACGGCCCATTCACCATTTCGGCGGAGCAAGCCGACATTTTTCAACTCGTCGAGGGTCGGCGTCGCCGCCGAAGAAACGCGGAAGGAGCGTCTGCACTTAAAACTCCTCTCAACAATTCAACCACTGGAGACGCTCGTGCTCCATCTCCTAAAGCTCCACAAAAGACTTCACCAGTCTCCAAGTGGACGCCGAAACCAACGGTCAGGATGAATCCTGGCGACTACGTGATCGTGCTCAAGCCACGCATCACAGTAGCCCTCAAGGCAGCGTTTCAACAAGGTGAGCTCGGCGCTGCCATTTCCCAACTCATCGGAAGGCAGCACATGAATGACATCAGCATTTCTCCCAATTGGGAGCAAAACATCATCATCTGTGGCACGCAGAATAACGAGGTGGCTCAGAAACTGCTGTCGGACTTTCAAATCAACACCAGCAAAGGACCGCTGCCGCTTTGCGGTCACCTCAAGCTCACCGGTGATGTGTGTCGCGGCGTGATTTCTGTGCACAACCTCGAAACCAGTGCGTCTCTGAAACATAGTGTGCAGTGGCGTGG